ATCCTACGAATTGTTTATTGTAGATAAAGATGTAGATCACGTATCAATAAAATTACCCTTTAGCTTTCATTTTATTAAATGAAATACTTTTTTGTCCTACATGCTTACATACTTTTACTTATTTAAAAGAAATAGCAATTTTTCATATACAAAAATAACGAACGATAAAGACCTACTTTCTGAATCTATTTATCCAACTTGTTTTTAGAAGACTTAACGGGATTCTTTAATTAACTGATGGCGGTATTTTACACCGCATATTAGAAATTTATTTTAGGTAGACAATTTAAGCATATTGTGTTGCAATTAATTATTAATATACAGAATTTAAAAATGAATTAAATGTAAGGCACCATAATAAAATAAGACAGATGTCCTTAACCTGAGAATAAGAAACCAGGGGTTGAAATACAGGACTTTTTAACTGCTGCGCCTCTGTCACACTTCTACTTGGTACATCGTCGATTTTCAAAGATTTTATGATTTCTTCAGATTGTTTTCCGGTTAATTCATTCTTAGATTTCGAATGAAAAGCTTTTTTCGTAGTGTGATGATGTAGGTGGTAATTGTGATGCTGGTTTAGCTGAGGTCTTCCTGAATGGTGTGAACCCAAAATCGTAGATGGACGAGAGGGTAAGCTGGTTATTGATGTAGCGGAAGTAGTAGAAATAGTACTTGATGTTGAGAAGGGACGATTAGTAGAAATCGTTGTTCCACCTTCATTTACAGATGCAAAAACTGTTCCTGGTTTGATAAAGAAATGATCATTATGCCTACCAACGGTTGGTGTATTTGTCGTTGTAACTGAATCTGATTTTAACGTTTTGTATGAAGGACTTGAACGTTCTCCTAAGTTGTCAGCTTTTTCATACTGATGATGGAAATGGTTATGTCCAAACAGAGGTCTTTTAGTACGAATAGGTTTATGCTTAAATGGTCGACCACTAGTGACCGATAACTCGTGAATCGGGACTTCACTGGGACGTACTGGAACTGGAGATTCTATCGGTCGAAAAGTTGAAGAAGATGGGGTTGAGCTTGTACTCGCAGTAGCAGGAGATGTTTCGATTGTTTCAGCATCTGTTGACGTTCTTTCTGTTGTTGTTGCTGTTGAACCTGAAGAAATAGAACTTGAAGTAGTAGAATTAGGGGTAGTGGAACTTGGGATGATAGACGTTGCAGCAGAAGAACTTATGGAAGCAATGCTAGATGAATGGGTGCTTGCTATAGAAGAAAATTGTGATACAGGTTGTGTTGATGACGTGAATTTTGAAGTAAATTTATGTTTTATTTTGATAGGTCTATGATGATGTTTTAGCGATTCTGTTGTTAAAAATTTTGCCGATGGAATACCTTGTGATATTTGTTGTTGAAAAGGGATTGAGTCTATTCTACTCTCGTCCCCAAAAGAATCGTAGAAATCTGGCTGAAAATTTTGTTTATTATTCAAGAATAAAAAAGATGAATGTGGAAAAGTAGTTGGAAATATAGCTCTTGTACGACCAGTTCTTATGGTGGGATAAAAAGAAATTTGTGGAGATTCTGTTTCCGATCGATACCATTGGTTATTTAGTCTGCTTCGTCCTCTGTAGACAGGTCTGAAGGTCGTTGGAAAGTTTCGCGGATTGCTAAATCGTCGATTTTGATAATTCGTTCCAAAAGTGTTCTGCAAGTTATAACTGTTGCTGGTAGTTGAATATCCTCTTGGCTTAGCATACACTTGTTTACCTTGACTTTTTACTTCATTTTCTGAAGTTTCAATAAATTCATTGAATGCATTTGGTGGGGAGATGGTTGTTATTAACGGCGGATCAAACATTAATTTCTGATGAGCATAATTGGCGATTTTCAAAAATTGTAAATGGGGATGATAAGGATATTGCGGGGGCTGACGGAAAGGTGCTTTCCGGAATCCTTCGAATGATTTAACTTCTTCCGGTTCGTACTGTATAAAGTTATCTTCATCGAAACAACCGACGATGTACAGAGGCAATCTGGTGGAGTTTTTACAAAATGATGTATAAGCCGACCAAGCGTTATAACCATCTCCAGTGATCTTCATATGCTCATCATAAATTTTCTTAGCACATTCTACATCGTCGGTGATGTCGTCATCTTGAAAAGCTGAACAAGGAAGACCACATTCGTATAAACCTTTACCTGTTGCGGAACACCAGTAAATTTCACTTATTTGAAAAATTCCGTGATCACCGCTTCCTGCGTTTTTGGCGGAAGTGTCGAACTGAGACTCGTGTTGAGCAATGCAAATCCACATGGGTAAATCGTTCATGGAAATTCCGTGAACATTTCTGAGCTCTTGAGCTAATTCGCACCTACGAAACACTTTTGATAGAACCAAATGGGGAAAGATAATGGAGAATGCACTCAAAGCGCGAATTACTGTACCAAGAGGAATAGCCATGACTGGTGTGTTGAGACAAGGTTGCGGGTTTTTAAGTACTAGTGACCCGCTCATATGTAAACGGTTGAGGACCGTCAGGTAGCGCACCTTAGAAATTAGCGAATTAATAATCTCTGCTATGCAAATGAAGATGTTCTGTGTTTACGCGTGTTCATAAGATACATATAGTTATCGATAATGTGTGCTGTAGAGAAATGACTTTAATCTCGATATATGGTAGATGTGTGAAACGCCTCGAGACAGACGGCTTCTAATTTACCTGTTTAAATGTCAAAAGCCAATAAATCTTCAACAACATGAAAAAATAAAATAAAGTCAAACATCAATAAAAGTTCTAATCACTAATACACTTTCGTAATTATTCCCTTAATATACA